CAACCCATGGCACCTGCAGGGTCTGTCCCGTGAACTCCAACACAACAACAACCAACACCACAACCACCACCACAACCACCACTAGAACAACTACCACAACCACAACAACCACCACAACCACAGCTGATTACCTCACGACTTGGCGCTGCCGACGGCACCACGTGACATCGCGCGACTTTCACTTCCTGCCAGGTGAGCGATGACGTCATCCGAGAGCCTGGGCCCCGCCCACAGACTCCGCCCACCTCACTCACTCACCAACCCCGCCCTCTCACCCCCCCTCTCTCACCCACCCCGCTCTCTCACCCACCCCGCTCTCTCACCCACCCCGCTCTCTCACCCCACCCCGCTCTATCACCCACCCCTCTCTCACCCACCCCGCCCTCTCACCCACCCCGCCCTCTCACCCACCCCGCCCTCTCACCCACCCGCTCTCTCACCCACCCCGCCCTCCACCCACCCCGCTCTCTCACCCACCCCGCTCTCTCACCCACCCCGCTCTATCACCCCACCCCGCTCTGCTCACGCCACCCCGCCCTCTCACCCCACCCCCTCTCCCCACCCCGCCCTCTCACCCACCCCGCCCTCTCCTCACCCACCCCGCCCTCTCCCCACCCCGCCCTCTCACCCCACCCCGCCCTCTCACCCACCCCGCTCACCCACCAACTCACTCACTCCCCAAATAGGGAAGGAGCCACAAAAGGGGAGTGAATGCCACCCGCGCCCAGCCTGCTTGTGATTGGGTGGGTTGGGTCGAGGGAGGTGACTGGGGCTTGAGTGACAGGGGAGGGGGCCGCATTGGACACAAAGGAAGGAGCCAACCAGCTCCAGCCTACTTGTGATTGGTGGGTTGGGTAGAGGGAGGTGACTGGAAGCTTGAGTGACAGGGGAGGGAGCCCCGCATCAAGACAAAAAAAGGAGAGAGCACCTGCCCCAGCCTGCTTGTGATTGGTGGATTGGGTAGAGGGAGGTGACTGGGGCTTGAGTGACAGCGGAGGAGGCCCCGCATCGAGATACAAAAGGGGAGGAGCCACCCGCCCAGCCTGCTTGTGATTGGTGGGTTGGGGAGAGGGAGGTGACTGGAGATTGAGTGACAGCGGAGGGGGCCCCACATTGAGACACAAAAGGGGAGGAGCCACCCGCCCCAGCCTGCTTGTGATTGGTGGGTTGGGTAGAGGGAGGTGACTGGAGCTTGAGTGACAGGGGGAGGAGCCATGGACAGTGGGGGAGGAGCCACACGCCCCAGCTTGCTTGTGATTGGTGGGTTGGGGAGAGGGAGGTGACTGGGGCTTGAGTGACAGGTGAAGAGCCCCGCATTGAGACACAAAAGGGGAGGAGCCAGAAGGATGCACGAGAAACTCTTGGTGGAGAGATGACGTCACTCAACTGCTTTGAGCCATCGCCATTTTAATATCAAACAGCGCACAGGGAGACCGGCAAGCGCTGTGGTAACAATGGACGCAGACGAAGACGGCTTCACCGACGCTTGCTTATGTTAGCCCATCAAACAAAGGGGGCGGCGGTGTCACGCGGCTCACCTTCTTACAGTAGCTTTAACGTAAGATTATTTTACGGTGTTATTTTTTTTAAATATGCCTTCGATAGTAATCACTGGTCAACACACTTTTTCTGGCATGAGGTATTGCAACGGGTTTAAGGTAATTTTGGGGTGCTGATTCCAAATCTGGCATCAGTTTTTGTCTATCACGTCAGGTTTTGAGATATCAAATATTGCATTTCAATAAAAACTGCAGAAGAAAAATATTAAATAAATGTGGATATCTACATAAAATGATATTATAAACACACTATCCTAAAAATACAGCACCATATTTTAACAATAAAGCAGTCACTGACTCGCAACAACTTGCAATCATAAGTGACAGAGTTAATTTCGGGTGAAATCAATGAAAATGGGGTATGCCGATAGCATAAAATGAGATGTGATAGAGCAAATCTCAGATCAGATTTGGAATCAGCACCCTGAAATTAGTCTAGAACAGCTGCAAAAGCAGAGGTGTGGACTCGAGTCATGTGACTTGGACTCGAGTCAGACTCGAGTCATGAATATGATGACTTCAGACTCGACTTGGACTTGCATAACAATGACTTTGTCCCACCTCTGAGGTGTGGACTCGAGTCATGTGACTTGGACTCGAGTCAGACTCGAGTCATGAATTTGATGACTTCAGACTCGACTTGGACTTGCATAACAATGACTTTGTCCCACCTCTGAGGTGTGGACTCGAGTCATGTGACTTGGACTCGAGTCAGACTCGAGTCATGAATTTGACGACTTCAGACTCGACTTGGACTTGCATAACAATGACTTTGTCCCACCTCTGTGCAAAAGTCCAGGCCAGAAAAACATGTTTTTTGTTGTTGACCAGTGTATAATTTATTATAATTCAATGTTGCTTTGTATGGCATTTGCTTTTATCCTACTGTTGATTTAGTCTATTAACAATGGTTTTTTGTTGTATCTGTACGACACTTTAAATGTCATCCTTTGCACGAAATAGGGGCCGTCCATAAATGACGTCACGCACCTGGGGGGGGGGGGGTCAGACGTTTATGGCGATGGGGACGAGGGGGGGTTGAGAAATACGCAACTTTAAATAAATATAGACAACACGTTCTACTTAATTAAATAGACGTTTTAATAAATGTTTTCTCCTACAACATCAGAGTGCAGCACCCCATTAAATACGCACTACAATGCGATTTGAAGCATGTTTTATTTTTAAAATGGAAATATGTTTTTTTTGGGGGGGCAGAGCTTTGTGACATCATATTTGCGGGGGGGGGGGGGTCTGACTCTTTGTGACGCCGTGTGACGAGGGGGGGGGGTCAAAAATCGTCAAAAATCGCGTGACGTCATTTATGGACGGCCCCATAGCGCTAAATAAATAAATACTTGGTTTAACACATAGCAGGCTTTCGCGACCAATATTCATAATCAACGTTTTTGGGTTTAGATCGCGTTATTCATAAATGTGTCGTAACCCTCCACCACCCGACACGGCCAATCAGCAAAAAAGTGTCACGTTGACAAAAGACAAATAGTTCACTGCTTTAGCCCACCGGTGTGTTGAAGCGTGAAACCACAACATTTACAGTTGTTGAGTAGTACGACGTTTCGCTGGTAATTGCATCCAGCATCATCGGGCAATTCGCCAGAATGGTGAGGCTCTGCTCTGGCTCCCGGTTTTATATAGAGCCGCCAGCAGGGTGACGTCCTCATCAACTCAAAATAAATACTTTATTGATTGAGTCGATTCCAATGAAGCGACGTTTTCAAGATGTCTCCCCGATCAACTCCGATACACAATGATGCTGTTGCATGCCCATTGTCTTTGGAACTGATTGGCCCACACCAGAGACCACTGCCTTCTTCAGGGTCTCGTCTCACCAACGCACCTTGCAAAAGTTAGCATCGATTTGGTGTTCGAACACCCTAACACACACTCCTGTATTACCGCCAGAAAGGGCATCAACTTATTCTTATTGTTCATACTTTGATACTGGCAAAGAAGGTATCACCCCGGCCTAGTAATGCTCTCGATACGCGTGGCATTACCCTGGTCCTGGTCTCTGGTACGACACTGCTGGCGAGACTTTGCCGTACAGAAGGCTCTGGTGTATCTGGTGTATCTGGTGTAGGTCAATCCGTTTGAAAGACAATTGCTTAAACTCTTTGGTTCTTTCGCCAGATGACGCCCACTTGTGTTGCGATCGAAACGTCTTGATTTGTTTCATTTTATTTTATCTCCAACTAAGTGACTTTACTGAACGAACCAAAGAGTGTGGATTCCTGCAGTCACAAAAGCTTCAAACAATGCGTATAACACAACAATTATGATTATTATAATAATTATCAAAGCGATGTTTGTTTCCATGTTCACCACCCGCACTGTGCGTGGTTAATGCATTACTTGATGACGCCTTGAAAAAAGTATACAAATGCACTACACACTACTACTTTACACTACACGACTATACACATACACTATACACTAATACTTTACACTACACGATACACTACACAATACTACTTTACACTACACTACTTTACACTACAGACTACTTTACACTATACTATAGACTACTCACTACTACTTTACACTACACGATATACTACGCTACTATACACTGCACCACGGGTACTGTGTGTGGTTAATGCACAATTGACGACGCCTTGCGATAGGTATCTCTTTGGTGTTCTAACATCTTAACACCACTCCCGGCTTTATGGCCATTAAGGGTACAAAACCCGAATATTTTCTTTAAAATTCATTTTCAGGTTAAGCTCTTGCTCGTTTTTTTAAGCGTATTCAAAGCTACGATCGATTCCACTAAATTACATGTAACATTTAAATGTTCTACCAGCTAAAGGCCCGGCCGAGCTGGGTAGCTCATTTTCAGAACCCATGACATCGTGTTTACCAGGCGAGGTAGTTAACATCTCCTAGCCACGGTGGCGTTATGATCTGGGATAGAACCCACGACCTCCTGTATACAAGGCAAGGTAGTTAACATCTCCTAGCTACCATGGGCATTAGGATCCGGGATCGAAGCCGCGACCTCCTGCACACCAGGCGAGGTAGTTAATATCTCCTAGCTGCCATATGGCACTAGAGTCCGGGACGGAACCCACGACTACCTGTATACCAGGCGAGGTAGTTAACATCTCCTAGCTACCGTGACGTTAGGATCTGGGATCGAACCCACGACCTCCTGTATACCAGGCGAGGTAGTTAACATCTCCTAGCCACTGTGGCGTTTGTGTCCGGGATCGAACCCACGACCTCCTGTATACTAGGCAAGGTAGTTAACATCCCCTTTAGCCAGCGTGGCACCGTTGAGTCTTGGCCTTAACCAGATAACCCAGAGTGAAAATATTGAACAGGAATTCAGAGGCACAGATTGACACCGTTAAAGTCCCGAGAGAGTTCATCTGTTTCACATTACAAGGCAATGACTTAACTCTGACGTGACAAATTATTTGGGTATTTCGGTAAAGTCACATAGATAGGTTCAAAGGTAATTTTAAAATAAATAAATAAACCACGACGTTTCGATCACAATACAAGCGATCTTCTTCAGGTGGGATAAACTCCTTTAAAAAAAAAATTTAAACCGTTTTATTTCGATTTAAAGCTTTCGTGACTGCAGGGATTCATCTTCTTGGTTCTTTCGGTAAAGTCACGTAGAAGGGAAGTAATAAATAATAAAAATAAAACATAATAAAATACAATTCTCACGACGTTTCGGCCACAACGCAAGCAGCCGTCCTCAGGTGAAGAACAGGTCTGTCAGGAAGACTATAATTCAAACGCTGTCTTTCCGACAGACCTGTTCTTCACCTGAGGACGGCTGCTTGCGTTGTGGCCGAAACGTCGTGAGAATTATTTTATTATGTTTATTTTTATTATTTTATTATTTCCCTTCTACGTGACTTTTTAAATTAAAGGAAAGTCGTATATAAGGATTATAAGATTTTCAGTTTTTGTATAATTGTTTATATTGTACATTTTTGTTGTTTTCCTTGAATAATTTTCTGTGTTTAGGAAAAATATATGATTGTGTTAGTGAAATTTTTTTTTCATAAAAAGTGTAAAATTTTTGAATAAAATTTCACGAAAATAAATTGTCACGCACAACGAGTCTGTGTGCAAAATGTCAGGTCGATTGGATCACGGGAAGTGGGTTAAAAAACGACCGAAATATTTGCACGGTCGTAAGCGCGCAAGCAAGCAAGTGAACTTAATATAAAGGATTAAAAAAAAAAGTCCATCCGGGGGGACTCCAGAACCCCCTCGAAGATTTCCCCCCCCCCCAATGTTGATGCCATGGCTACGGCTAGGCCTCGGCAAGGGAAGGTAATTTACCCTTTTTACCGGGTAAAAGGGTAAAGGGTAAAGATGTCGACATGCCAAGCGTTAAGGTAAAGGGTTAAAGGGTAAAGGTAGTTCGGAAGAATTACCCGGTAGGGTAAAGGTAGCGCCAAGTATTACCCGGTAAATACGGTGCCTTGCTTACCACTAAAAGCTCCGTGGCGCAGTCCGTGGCCTACATTTAAAAAGTATATTTAAAACAACTTTATTAAAAACACGCTTTTATGAAATATACGAGTAATGGCAGAACTCCACGACTCCAGGAAGTGGCCGCAATGCTTGGCACAACGTAAGGGGCCGTGGCCAATTACAGCCAACGTCAGTTGAGCATGGACAATTAGACCCAAGCCGAAACATAACATAGAAAAAATAATGTTTAAAAATATATATATGTTTAATGATAGAATATAGTATAGTCATCAGTATGACCCAAGTATACCAAGTTTGCAGTCGATACCACATTAGGAAGTGGGTAAAAATTGAGTTTCTAGATTTGAGGATACGACAACAACAGAGTGAGTTAAAAGAAAGCGTGTAAAATTGGAATAATCGAGAGTATTCTATATGAATGAAGCGCTCTACCTAGCATTTACCGTTATAAACCCTGTTGATGTGTAGTTCCCTATTAATTACCCTGTAATCGGGTCATTTGTATGGGGTAAGGGTAAAAGGTAGGGTAAAGGTAAGCTCGTTGCTTTTACCTTTTACCTTACCTTCTAAAGGGTAAAAGGTAGGGTAGAGTGATTGTATTGTGGTAAGATAAAAGGTAGGGTAAAGGTAGGCTCGTTGTTTTTACCTTTTAACTCTTAGCTTGCCGAGGCCTAGCTACGGCCTCGCTCTCTTGTATCCATTTACACCTCCTTGCATCGTCCATCTCTCACCCTCACCCCCAATTTGCAGATGGAGCGATGGCTCATTATTGCAATCGGCGTCCTTGAGAATGACCCCGGGCCCTTCCCCAAGCAGCTGGTGCAGGTAAAGGCCCCCTCCCTCCCCTCTTCCCCCCCCTTCACCCCCTCTACCCCCATAACCCTCCCCCACCGGCGTTGGTGACGCTCGCACCTCGCGGCAAGGAAGGTGTCCTGGGTTCGACCCCCAACTTGGGTGCCGTGCTGCCTACGTTCAACCCCCTGTTCGGCAGTGTGTGAGTGTCATGCGTTGGTGAGTGTAAGGGTGAATGTGTGTGTGTGGTATGTGGTGTATGTGTCTTGGGGTTTGTGGTGTTGTATTTAGCATGCCATACATCAGCATGGGGGAACGGTGGCCAATTGGTTAGCACGCGCTGCGCTCGCAACCTGGCGACGTGAGTTTGATTTCCACTTACAGCTCACACCCAGTGACGGTTATCTGAACTTGGTCTCAAATAAGTACCCAGTGCGATGTATAATTGTCTCCACTGGGGAGACCAAGGCGGCCGGGTGTGTTGGTAACTGCATATCACACCCCCTCGTGCGCCATGCCGGCCTTCATATTTTCTGCTGCGCGCAAACTGCACTTGCCCCAGCAGTCTGTTGAAGGCTATCCGGGGTACCTTTGCGTACGTGTATCCACGTTATGTACGAGCGTACATCATGTAACGCCGTCCCCTGCCGCCTCCCCGACCCCACCTGCGCCTTCCCCGTGTGTGCTCTCTCGCGCGTGGCGCCCCCACAGATCAAGTCCAAAAAATAAAACTAAAAAAATAAATAATATTAACTTTATCTCATTTTTTTAATCCTTGCATTCAACAAAGCTTCAAATCTAGAACACATGAAAATGCACGTTATCGCATCGCGGGGCCCGGAGCAGACGAGGATCCCATGGGGGTGTTTATCGTGGATCCTGTGACCGGGTGGCTCTCTGTTACGAAGACCCTGGACCGTGAGCTCATCAAAGAGTTCCTAGTGAGGCACTCACACTAGCACCACACCCCGCGCGTGTGTTGGCCTAGCGAGGTCCAGGCCTCGATTGTGGAGTTCTCAATGTCCTGCCCGCCGGACCACTCGGTCAACGTCAACAATTCCGGGGTGCAAGCACCTCCCGCCCCTGGTGACAAAAACATTCAATTCTCTAAGTACCAATATTACTCAAATATATTTATATTACCGGAACATTAAAAGAACATTAACGCAGCTAGAACGGTTTTGTTTTTTTACGCGGAGAATTTAGATATCGGGGTTCGGGTAATTTAATCGGGGCGGTTTACCCTCATTTTATTTACAATTTTCAATATCACGAGTAAAATCTTAACGTCCGAAACAAAAGGCGTAAACGTTTGCGGATCAACCTGCAATCAGCTTCTTAGCCCAGCGGACCTCCAGGAGTACCGGCACGGCCCGTCGGTGGTCCAGGTGCGACTCTCAGAGAACCAACCACCGCTCGAGAGGAGGGATGTTTGGCCAACTCTAAACATCCCAACGTCGGCGATTACAACCACTCGTGCGTTGCGTGTAACGCGCGTGTGCGTTGGGTGTGCGTTGCGTGTGTGTTGCGCGTGTGTTGCGTGTCTGCTGCAGGTCAACGGCCACGCGGTGGATAAGAACGGCCACGCGGTGGATAATGACGTGCATCTCCTAATCAACGTGCAGGACCTTAACGACAACAGGCCGCACTTCGAGATGCCCGTTATCCAGGGCTCCGTGGATGAGGGCTCCCTACCAGGTGCAGACGGACGCGGCGGTGACGGGGGTGTGATGGTGATAGCACCTGCCTGGGTATTTTGTAACAACAGACACTCCACCTCCACAACTCTCAATTGGTGCCATTTCCTGTACACCTAGGGATTTCGACAGAGATGTTCTCTGTCTCCCACATTATTAAACATCTATTTCGACCACGTAGTTCGTGAAGCCTTCATAGCTGTACCTGAGGAATTTCCATCTAGATTACCATCATATACCCGAAGCCTGGGAGAAGCGTGGCAAAGCCTAGAGTGGGTCAGGGAAAGCCCATACTGCAGTGTGAACGCTTTTCTAACAGAACCCCTGTTCTTTAACGACCTCATCGGGGAGCTGAAACAAGAAAAGACTATGGCTTTCCGATTCACCAAAGCCAGCATAAAAACAGTCGGCGACTTGGTGGAAAGCCACAACGACCACCGAAAGTGGAAGAACGCGGCTGACATAAGCCACGCCGCAGGTCTCCGCACAATGCTGGCCGGGGAGAAAATACTGCGTGGAGTACTCAAAACAGCAAAAAAACTTGCAACTACAGATACACACACCAGACGACACCGACTCGGCTCAGCCTCCCCTTCCTGCCTTCCCGGAGCTACATGCTGCCTGTTTCTAGGTCCCTGGGCGGAGTGACGCAGGCATGCTGCTTAAGCTTGAAGACTGCGGGAACGTGGCTCTCAATGGCGCCTCCAAGGTGGCGATATATAGCTGCTGCGTAAAGACTCTGCACCGTCAAGCCTTAAAAGACCTGCCGTGCACAAAGTGGAGGGACGTTTTTCCCCCGCTGATAGACGTCACCCCTCAGTGGGGAGAACTATACAAGGCCCCAGTGGCGAAACGGAGCGGAGACCTCCAATGGAGGCTGGCCCATTGGGCACTGCCTTCGGCGGCGTGGGTAAAGAAGATCAACCCAGGAGCGTCCGATTCGTGCGCTTTTTGCGGCCAAAGAGAAGATCTTGCCCACCAATATATAGGGTGCCAGAGGCTGACGCCACTTTTCAAGATGTTAGGATCAATCTTTCAGAAAGTTGGAAGTGCCTTTTTTCAAGAGCAGCCTCGTATGTGGAACACCACACAGAGCGAACAAGCGCCACAGCTTAGCGAACTTTGTTCTTGCCCAGGCAAAAAATGGCCATTTACAAAACGCACAAGAAAAAACTACAAAGCGACACAACCGCAGACGAAGGCTGCTCGGCGGTGGCCATGACGAGAGGTCTGCTGGTGGCGAGGCTCAAACTAGAGCATGAGTACTACGCCTAGGTGGGGGGCGAGTATGGCGTGTTCCAGGACAAGTGTGGGGACGGCCAAGCCCTCTGCTTCCGTGAACACGGCACCTTGACGCTCACGATCTGAACCCTTCGGCTGAGACAGACCACGGATACGGCGCGGAAACTAGACGCGCGCGGGCCGGTTCGCCCATGTGGATGGTCGGTGGCGACGCGTGCTGCTGGCAACGACGATGTTGAGCATAACAAGAATGGTGGTGGTTGCGATGCGAACGAATATAATGTTTGTTCTTGAGAGTCACCATGTCCACGCCCCTCTCCCTGCCCTTCACCTCTGCCCTCCCCTGCCCTCCCTGCCCTCCTCCCTCCTCGCCCTCCCACCCCCGGCAGGCACGCCAGTGATGACGGTCACGGCAAGTGACGAGGACGACGCCTTATCGCCCAACGGCGTGAACCGCTACAAGATCGTGTCGCAGGTTCCCACGAAGTCCTTGGACCGCGTGCTTACCATCAACAACACCATGGGCGTCATCAGCACCATCGCCGCCGGGCTGGACCACGAGGTGGGTTGTTGTCCCGCGGCAACCACCGCTGATTGGCCGATGTCGGTCCGGGCGGTGGTGGCTAATGTCTGGCGTTGCGTGTACAGTGTTACATTTGTGTTTTCGGTGTGTATATACATACGTTGAGCGTCTGTCGCGCACCGTACGTAGACGATCGCGCTGACCGGAGGTGCGAGGGAAGGGCGACAGGCTTAACATGAAAAGCGGATCTAAAGAAACGAGTTTTCAGCTACAGTGGCTTCTTCTTCTCGTGTGTCTCGGAAGCGACAGTGTCGCGGCGAGCGCGCTCCGCTACGAACCCGGGGACCCGAGTTCGATCCAACACTGGTGACAGTTGACTCAGCCTCAAATTAGTACCTGCTGCAGTGTGCAAACATCCCCACTAGGGAGACAAAGGCGGCCGGGCGTGATGCTGGCCACCCACCTCCTCGTGTGGCGTGCCGGCCTTCCACAGTGGCCGCTCGCTTAACGGCACTTGCCCCAAAGGTCTGTTGAGGCTGCACGATGAATGTTTGTCCCCGTTGTCTGTCTGTGATTGGTGCTGTCTGTGTGCCCCGTCGATGTAGACGACGCCGCAGTACGTGCTGGTGGTGCAGGCCTCAGACATGGAGGGCGACCCGGACATCGGCCTCACAAACACAGCCACCGCCATCGTCACCATCGCCGACATCAACGATAATCCCCCCGAGTTTACGGACATAACCGTACGCACCACGCCACCACACGACGTGTCTGTGGTGGGGTTGGAAGGGCGGCGGGGCCAGGTGTCCCCGCAGCCGTAATAGTCCCGCCCCGAGCAGAGTCCGCTGCCTCCTGCAGTGTCACGTCCAGTTTGTCTGTAGAAGGCACGACAGGCGCTCTTGCAGGGTCAACAGGCACAGGCAAGGGTGTGTCGGCAGCAACAGACACCGGCAAGGCAACATCAGGAGATGACGCATCCGTTCGAGGGGCCACGTATGGTTTCAAGCGAGACGTATGGACGTACCAGCGCCGAGCTCCGAACCGAACGCGCGCGGACTGCGGGTTAGGAACCTCAATGAGCCTAACAGGCCCCTGCCATGGTTTATGCAGTTTAGGGGAGGTTCCTGCTCGCACCTGCGGGCAATGCAGCAAAGCCATATTCCCCCACCTTCCAGGGGCACTTCCCCTTCGAGCGTCGAGCGCAACGTTCGTTTCGGGCCTGGGTTTTGGCAGTAGCCACTCGGGCCCCCTCCCGCGCCTCAGCGACGCGGCGAACGGCGTCCTGAATGTAGTCGGGGAGAGGCTTAGTAGGTCCTCTCACTCCCATTCCCAACTGCACATCCATTGGCGGCACGTTTTCGCGACCGTACATGAGAAAAAACGGAGAATATCCTGTGGACGCGTGAGGCGTCATCCGGTATGCCGAGAGTACCCCAGGGATGTGCAAATCCCAGTCAGCTTGCTTCTCATTAACTGTGTGACACAGCATGGCTGACAGCGTCCGATTTAGTCTTTCCACCATGCCATCCGTCTGCGGGTGGTAGGGGGATGTCCGGATCTGTTTGGTCCCCAGAGCAGCGCACACCTCCCCCAACAATTTATAAGAAAAATTCCGGCCCTGATCAGTGAGCAGCCTCTCCGGCGCCCCTTTGTCCATGACATATCAAATAGAAAGGCGTCCGTAATGGACGCCGCCGACTGGTCGGGCAAGGGCCAGGCCATCGGCCAGCGGGAGAGATACTCCACCCCAACTAGCAAGTATTTATTACCCTTAGCGGATGGCGGGAAGGGTCCCAAAATATCCAACGCCACCAACTCGTTAACTCGAGACACCCGAATAGACTGTATCGGCGGCACATATGGGTGCTTAGGCGGCTTCCGCCGGGCACACTCGGGACACGCACGAACGTGCCCGACGACATCCGTCATCATGCCATGCCAGAAGTAGTCTCGCTGCAACGTCAACAAGGTTTTCTGCACCCCCAGGTGTAATAGCGTGTCGCAATGCAGAGTCCTAATCAATTCGTACCGTAACGACGACGGTACAACCAGACGCCAGCGATCATATAACCCCTCCCTCCACATCAGCAGTCCATCGCGGAGAGCGGCCCCCGGCGTCCCCCCGGAAACCAGTCCCCCCCCTCCCTTTGCAGCCCGACTCCGCAGGGTCCCCAACGAGTCATCAAGCATTTGTTCACGGATCCACACCGCTCGTGGAAGGTTCAGAACCCCATCGGCCGGTCCCGGGCACACTGGAGCCTCAGGCATCTCGACCGCTAACGCCATCCTCCTACCTTTCTTTCTTCCCACACTCTCCTCCAGCCCTTCCGGTTCCTGCCCTTAAAAGCACTCCCTCTCCCCACGTGACCCAACTCCTCCCACCTGTTACGTCATATCCGCGAGGCCATTTACGCTCGCATTACACTAGTGTGAGTGCCTCACCAGGTACTCTTTGACGAGCTCGCGGTCCAGGGTCTTGCTGACCGAAAGCCACCCGGTCACAGGATCCACGATGAAAACCCCGATGGGGTCCTGGTCGGCTCCGGGCCCCGCGATGCGATAACGCGCATTTTCATGTGTTCTAGATTTGAAGCTTTCGTGACTGCAAGGATTTAAAAAAATAAATGAAAAAAAGTTAATATTATTATTTTTAGTTTTTTTATTAATTTTTATTTCATTTTTTACCTACGTGACTTTACCGATAGAACTAAGAGTATTTTCATGCGTGTTCGACTTGATCTGTGGGGGCGCACGCGCGAGAGAGCACACACGGGGAAGGCGCAGGTGGGGTCGGGGAGGCGGCAGGGGACGGCGTTACATGATGTACGCTCGTACATCACGTGGATACACGTACGCAAAGGTACCCCGGATAGCCTTCAACAGACTGCTGGGGCAAGTGCAGTTTGCGCGCAGCAGAAAATATGAAGGCCGGCATGGCACACGAGGGGATGTGATATGCAGTTACCAACACACCCGGCCGCCTTGGTCTCCCCAGTGGAGACAGTTATACATCGCCCCGGGTACTTATTTGAGACCAAGTTCAGATAACTGTCACTGGGTGTGAGCTGTAAGTGGAAATCAAACTCACGTCGCCAGGTTCAGAGCGCAGTGCGTGCTAACCAATTGGCCACCGCTCCCCCAACATATATACATGTGTACACACACACACACAAACATCACATGCTGATGTATGGCATGCTAAATACAACACCACAAACCCCAAAGACACATACACCACATACCACACACACACACATTCACCCTTACACTCACCAACGCATGACACTCGCACACTGCCGAACAGGGGGTTGAACGTAGGCAGCACGGCACCCGAGTTGGGGGTCGAACCCAGGACACCTTCCTTGCCGCGAGGTGCGAGGGTCACCAACGTCGGTGGGGGAGGGTTATGGGGGTAGAGGGGGTGAGGGGGGGGAAGAGGGGAGGGAGGGGGCCTTTACCTGCACCAGCCGCTTGGGGAAGGGCCCGGGGTCATTCTCAGGGACGCCGATCGCAATAATGAGCCGGCGCTCCATCTGCAAATTGGGGGTGAGGGTGAGAGATGGACAATGCAAGGAGGTGTAAATGCGCTTACGACCGTGCAAATCTTTCGGTCGTTTTTTACCCCACTTCCCGTGATCCAATCGAGCTGACATTTTCCACACAGACTCGTTGTGGCGTGACAATTTATTTCCGTGAAATTTCTTTTCCCAAATTTTACACATTTTAGGACATTTTTTTATATTTAATTACCAATTGCTTAATGGTGGCAGGCAATCATCTGACCCATAGGTGGCAGCCATCTCAAGCCAGAGGACGAGAGGACAAAAGAATATGCATATCAAGAGTAATTTTGTATATTTATGGGAAATGCAAGTATGTGATTAGTACTACTTATGCCCGTGCATTTTGCAGGATTAGCAGCATCAAAGTGTAATAAAGGACTCGACCACGAAGTCTGGCTTGGTGTCCTTTATTCGGTTCTTCCTCGTAACCCACACGGCTGTCCTTCTATAAGGCTTCCACACTGATACTGATACTGCTGTTAACCCCGTCACGCCAACAGCTCCTCTGTTGGTCTCCCGTTGTTCTCGTAACCTTCCAGCAGCCTCGCCGCTGTTACCCTCACGCAACCCCCCACTGGCTGCACTCGCTGCAGTCTCTCTTCTCGTCGCTCTCGTAGCCTCTCACACACAGCCTCGCCGGCTGTGTTCACCGCAGCTCCTCAACCGCCCTCTCTCCAGCAGCCCCACTGCTGTCTTCTCTCGCAGCTCCGCTGGCTGCTCCCTTAGCTGGCCGGCGCTGGCCGCCGGTGCCACTCTTCCTGGCTTCGCCCAACGTGGCCTTACTCTTGTCCAGTCTCTCACTCTCTCCCTTCTCCTTCCGGTCTCATCCCTTAAGAACCTTAACCTTGCTCCCACGTCACCTAACTCCACCTCTCCGTGACGTCACATCCGGGAGGTCGCCCGCGCCCGCATTACACCACCCTCCCCCGTGGAGAAAAACCCAGCCGACCTCGGCTGAACAACACCAACAGTAATGCGGGCGAAACCGACCCTGACACTCCAAAGGACACCAAGCATGCAATATAACAGTAAGAACCATCAACAGAGCATAATAATCAAGTAACGTACCAGAAGCAGGCAATAAATACACAGTAAGAGCAATAATGCAACGTAACAATCAACGAAACACAAGGGATTTAGAACGTGTGCGGGTCGCCGGCCCGTCCCGGACGGTCGGCGGCCCACCCGCGGAACGGGAACGTGATGGAGTTTGAGGAGTGACAGGGTGAAATCCCCCTGTCGCTGTTGGAAGTCCACCAACGTCCCGTGTCCCTGAAGGATCAGTCTCGGGCGTGTCCCGCGGATGTGTCTGCAGCGGGGTCGGAAGGGCTGCAGGGCTCGAAGTTCCCGCAGATCTGGCAGGCACCCTCCGAGCAGGGCGCCTCGTCCCCTGTGGTGTCAAGGCCGGCCTGCCTGGAACAGGTATAACAGGCGCTCTAGCAAGATCAATAGACGCAGGCGGGGGAGAGTCGGCAGCAACAGACCCCGGCAAGGCAACATTGGGAGATGACGCATCATGTAGGGGAGCAACATACGGTTTCAAGCGCGACGTGTGAACAACCCAACGGCGAGAACCAATCTGAACACGCGCCGACTGAGGGTTAGGAACCTCAATGAGGCGGACGGGCCCTTGCCAAGGTTTGTGAAATTTGGGAGAGGTACCCGGCCGCACCTGCGGGCAATGGAGCCAGGCCAGGTCCCCAACCTTCCAGGGGCATTCCCCCTTGGAACGCCGCGCATACCTCTCATTCCGGGCTTGAGCTTTGGCCGTAGCCACTCGGGCACTCTCCCGCGCCTCCGAGACCCGGCGAACAGTGTCCCGAATGTAGTCAGGGAGTGGTTTACAAGGTCCCCTTACACCGGTTCCCATCTGCACATCCATCGGCGGTACGTTTTCCCGACCATACATAAGGTAAAACGGCGAATAACCCGTAGCCGCATGAGGAGTCATCCTGTACGCCGAAAGCACCCCCGGGATGTGCAGGTCCCAATCCGATTGTTGCTCACTCACCGTATGGCACAGCATGGCAGACAATGTCTGGTTTAGCCGCTCAACCATACCATCCGTTTGCGGATGGTATGGGGATGTCCGGACCTTCTTAGTCCCTAGGCCCGCACACACTTCCGCCAATAATTTAGACGAGAAATTTCGGCCCTGGTCCGTGAGGAGTCTCTCCGGC